GGTGAAGGTGTTTTGTTTCCTCTTGTTTTACAATAAAAGCAACCATCAGTCAAATAAGCCATTTTCCTTTTCATTAAACAAAAGGTGTGTATTGCGGAAATTGTCACTTCTCTGAGTCTCTATACCTTCCTGAAGAAAAACATCAAATCTTTCTGCTCAGGCTTATCTAAAGAACTTGCCCATTCCAACCCTTGAGAGGCCCTTCAGTCCCAAATTTGATGGAAGGCTATCAGGCAGCAATATGCAGGGAACTGTCTTTAGAAAGTGAGATAATGCAAAGACGCAATTTTGCACATTTCTGATTTTACTCCAATTATTACTTTCCTTCCCCATTCGGATTCAAAGATAGTTTATAGACCACACTAAAAATAAGTTTAGTAATGTCTGTTCTTTTTCTCCAAATACTGAAAAGGTCCCATGGAAAGACTGAATAGAAACTAATTCCTTAATTTAAAAAATACAGAAAAATAAGCTATCATTTTAATTTGCCTTTTAGTCTCTCTCTCGCTCTCTCTCTCCCTCTCTCGCTCTCCTTCTTCCCCTTTCCCTGCCCCCCCGCCCCTTTCTCTTCTTCCTCCCCTTCTCCTTGTCTCCTTCTCTTCCTCTCTTCCTTTCTCTTATTCTCATTGCCTTTCAGATAATAAGCAAGAGTACATAGGTCCAATATTAAGAATGATCTGATTAGAAACGGGATGGATTAACTAGGAGAATAAATTTAATGTAATTTAGTGGATTCAAGTTAAGTCCTTTTCATTATTTATTAACACTCAAATGTATACTTATTAAAGATTTAAGCATCCATTGAAATACAAAAGTATAATTGTCAAAACTTTTTCAGTGAATTCACAATTGTTTGATTTTGATTTTCCAATTGTGGGCAGGAGGATATTAAGTTTTGCTATCAATAGCAGGATGGTAAAGCTCAAATATAAGCAAACTTGCCCTTCATTCTAGTTGTGCTCTGATTCATTAATGATTTGAGGAGAGTTTACCTAGGTAGGCAACAATAGGAACTGTATTTACTTAGATGCTTGGTAATGTATCTAAGTTTACATGATAAATAATGATCCAATTTTTAGATATTCCTCACTGTAACATAAATTTACCAGTTGCTTTTAATTGTAATCTTAATACATTATTCTGAATGATAGATGAGTTAATGTACTAACAGACTGATATTATTGACAATGTCATAATTCATTAAAATATAATTTAAGACTAAAATCATGAATTATTCAATTTGATATTTTTTAAATTTAGTGCTGAATCTTTTTCAGACATTTTAAAATTATACTACAGATGATTTTCAGTCAATAATATTCTTAAAACAGAACATACTTACTAAATATTTGTGCAGCTGACACAGAGAATAATCACACTGAGCTCTTTTCATCCTTAATCTTGCAAGACCTTATCAAACCAACATTTGAATTAATGTGTACCTAAATCTATTTATATTTTTGCAGTACCTACTTTCTCAATCAGCTCTTCCAACCTATCCTCCATTTTTATGCAGCCATTCATCCTTAACTTGCTCCTTACTATCATGCACAAAGATTTGGGCAGCATTACAAATAACACCAAAATCTTTTTGAGAGAAATAGAAAATATAGTATGCTAGGAATTTTTAAAAGGCAAATAAGAAATAATCTGATATATTAATTGCTTAATAGAATGTTTGCCGATGAATAACTTCTGAGACAGATTGAGCATGTCATTTGGTCAAATATTTTCTATCCATCTTCACTTGCTGCTCATTTTGCTGTAAAGTGGTGAATAGCTTCAAAAAGTCCACACCAGCTACATTATTGCTTATATAAACCATGTCTTTATTTTCCCAAAGGTTCTACATAATGCAGAGAAGTGCACATTTTATATGGCATCATCATCATCATGGCTTAAATTATTGCTTGAAACGTTGTTATAAGGTATTGCTAGGAAGTCACTTTTAGATAAATGCACAATTCTTTATGAAAAGTACATAGACTTAGTATTAAGTTAGTGTCTTATTATAACATAAAGTGTAAAGCATTCAGGAGTAAGGTTGTCACTTCAACATTTGCTTCTGTGTTCTAAAATTCATAATATATACGTCGGTGGTGAGGATCAGCAAATCTCACATACTGCATGGCTCTGACAGTGACTAAGAAAATGGTATCGTAGCTCATTTGCCTAATAGCCCTGTAATGAGCAATATTCATCCCTCATGCTTATCAGTATTGACTTGTGTCTCTAATAAGTTTGAACATTCATGCTCAAAAAGCAGACTACAAATTTGAAACCAAAACTAAAATCTGTGGGAAAGATAATGGCATGAAGCTCACACAGTGTTTAACTTAAAAAATAACTACACATGAATTGATGTATTGCTATCTCAGTAAATTTGTATTTACTTCTAGTAATTGAGATTATCTGCACACTTTTCAGTGGTCCCCAAATCTGGCTGTATGATAGCACTACCTAGAGTGGTCTTCTAAATGCAGATTCCTAGGCCCTACCTGAGACCTACTGAACCCAGATCTCTGAAAGTAAAGCCCAGAATCTGCATGCCTAAAACTCTCTAGGTAATTCTAATGAAGGCTTCCAGATACTTCCATGCAAATCAGTTGAACAATTGAATTAGTTCATTTCTTAATAAAGTTGGAATGACAATGAGGTGCTTACTGAAGGCATGATCTGGTCACAACATTTTAGAAATAAAAGACATAAACCTGACTTATCTACATTCCAAAGTCTTCCCCAAAACATTATTCATTTTAATCATGCAACATCTACATTTAATAAACACATATGCACTAAGAATATGCATATGTACAGTATGAGATTAGCTGTAATTCTTCCTGTGTTATAAATGTATCAAATGACTTTTAAATGAAAAGAAAGAAGGAACAAAGGCAGGAAACAGAAAGGTGGCAGGACAACAATACTTAAGCTTCAATTGTTTGAATCAAGTGTGAGGAAGGAATTTTGCACACTATCTCAATATTCTCTGAAAAGATCGTAATAATCTGTATATAATATCAGTATCTGCTATTCATTCACCACTAAGAGAATCCTGAAATTGAGTCCATAGCTAGGGTTAATTTAAGCATTTAACAACAAATCTTATTTTACCATGCTAACTCAGTTCACCTGCATATTACATTGACTGTGAATTAGGTATAATAATATGAAGAGCTGCCCATAAAGACATTCAGAATGAATATTTTAAGCTTTTATAATTCATTGTCATTTCCATCTGGAATTTTGAATTATCTCAAGTAAGTGATGCTTATAGAAGCTTCTGAAAAGACATGATTTTTATAGTTGGAGGACTATAGTCTAATAGTAGAATTAAGTGATAATATAAGGCTTCGTTCTTGTACTTGCATTTCTAGGTTTTTATTGGATAAAGATACCTGGTGCCATCCAAAGAATATTCAGAGTCATGTATAATTAATTTCAAAGGAAAATTCAGAGAAGTTGCATGAAGTGCTTGGTTTCAGACTATATTTTGAAGAAAGAACAGAGGGAGAAACTGCAGATGTAAGCAATGCCCATGATCTGAGAAAAGTGAGTATTATCTGCCTATATCAGGCATCGGCAACTCTTTCTGCAGCCATTTTAGATTCAAAAGTGGAGAGAGAATAAAGTTTGATATGGCCAGGCTAAAGTAGTTAGATTGTTTTGAGTGGCAGCATGGAGTAACAGCAGGTCAGGGCTGGGTAACTCTTGCTCAAATGCATGGTGAGACAGAAACCTATATACAAAATTTGACTTGCTGCCTAGTCATCCACAGCACCTGCCTTCAATAAGACAGGAACCAAAGGAGCCTTCAACAAATGTATTTAATGATGGTCATAATCTTGAGCTCCCCCTTGATAGTGTAGAACTTCAGTCACATGATTTCAATCAGCAGCAGTATGATTTTGTATAAAACACAGACCCTGGTAGTTTTCCAAATTCTTTGTGGCTTTGCCCTTTGTATCTTACCAATTTAATTTTGCTTTATTGATGGAACTTTTTGAAGACATTTCCAAATTTAAAAGGTTGCTGTATTTGTGAATGAGATTTTGTTTAAGTTGTTATTGTCCTGTTTTGCTTTGTTTTTCCTGGAGAGGCACACACTTGTACAATAAAATGTTTCCTAACATCACTGTCACTGGACAACAGGAAGAAGTGTGAGACTATGACAGTTAACCTTTGAAGTGATGATTCCACCGACACATTTTCCAATCTCAGGTATTAGTATCTAACTCACAGCCACAACAGGTCACAGCTCATTGGATTCCAAACATCATCACAAATTAAAAGAGAAACTCAAAATACTTTAAAATATAACAGAAAATATGAATATAGAAGCAGATTTTAGATGGCTATGTCAGAGTAACTGAGAAGCTCTATTTTCTTCATCTCTATATCACACATCTAAGAGATCTAATTAATGTGTTATTAAGGTATACTATTCTTTTACCATGGCTACTGTTACCAGTTTGTTATATTTCACAAAGCAGATATATACAGTAAGTTTTAAGTAAATATTTGGGGATTCTGATTTTGTTAGTATTGATTTATTGGCAGATGATGGTATTCTCTCCACTAAAATAATCATGACACCAATGTGAAGGTAGTGACTTCTCCAAATTAGCTTCTTATTTTTTGTACTGGGGCTTGAACTCAGGACCTTGTGCTTGTGAGGCAGGCAGCATATTGACTGAGCTAAATCCCTGGCCCCAAATTAGCTTCATTAGTAAGTATTAAAAGAGGGCAGTTATAGGTACCAGATTGTATTGTAAAGTACTCTTTTTGGAATGGCTTAAATACATTATATCAATTAATATCACTTGGTTTCTAGGGGAGTATTATTGAAGTTTCTTTTAATCTGCCACACTAAAATGCATGGTATTCCTAACAGTTTGTAAGTAAATGAGAATACTGTACAGGTATTAGTCAAATAAAATATAAATGCTGGTACATTTTTATAGTCACAGTTTCTAAGCTATGACATATGCACTGTATTGTATAGGACAAATGAAAATATGCTTTTATTCACAGCATCTAATTTCTGACTGTGAATAGAATGAATGGACATTTTATACAGTATTTTGTAAACACATGTAGTAACAGCACAACTATAATAGTCAACTTTAATAGGTTGGCAAAATGATAAAAGTGAAGACCATTGCCTCAGACTAACTTCAAAAATATATGGATTATATATATTGTATATATATTATATGAAAAATGTAGTTTCATCTTGTTTGTGATAGATAATAGATCTCTGGCATGTGACATCTGCAGTGTAAATGGCTACTTCTTCTCTCTATGAAATCATATAAACCATTACAGAGTTTGTGATTCTTCTAACAAGTTGAGAGTATACACATAAATTCTCCTCTGGACCCCTATTAACAATTAACAAATGATGGAGTGAATTTCCAACGTTTCTTTTACAATATAGATAATTCCCATAGATATTTTTAAGTACAGAGAGGACAATTATATGTTTAGAATAGTTGCTTAGGTAAATCTTTACAAAAAGCAGAGAAATAGGGCAATTCCTGAAAGTCCCTTTTAGCCATATGGTTACAAAACACATTATCACCAAATGTGTATTGATTAACTATATAAAAATAAGTTTTAAATTACTGCACAGAATATGCATAAATGGCTGCCGTGATGTTGAGTCTGTCTCCATGCTACTGTGTTGTCAGAGTCCCTCAAGACTTCTCAGGATATTTTCTAATACTCCGATGAGGACTGAGGTGCTTCCAGCCCGTAACCATACTGGCTGTATACCCCTCACTGTCCCCAGAAAGGACAAGTTCCCTACAGAGATTTTGGGAGGTTAACTGTCCTCATGAAAATACCTTGCCTTCAGCCTACACACCCTTCTGTACAAAACCTGGCCTTCATTCTCCATGGAGTTAAAAGCAGAAACCTGGCCAACAAAGAGTGGGACAGGAAAGGTTAGAAAGCTCAGTGTCTGTATCTTGTATTCTCTATACAAAGAGTGCTGTAATAATGTTCTCATAAACCCCAGGGTGAGAAAAGAGCTCAAATTATAAAAAAGATTACAATTACAACAAATACTTTGAATATCTATAAATATTTTCTAGCCATAAACTTAGAGAACTCAAAAACATTAATTATGCCTCACAGACTACATTGGAAATTACTTAAAATACACCTTAGTTGAGTTATATCATGACCAAATCACAACGCACCCAAAATCCCTGAACAAAAAGGAAATATATTCTATTTAGTAGACATAAGCTACCAATGAGTATGTCTAGTGGAGTAGAAAGTGCCTACTTCAAAGATTTTAAGGTAACAATGCTTCCAGCTCATTGACTTCAATAGAAATTTAGGTTTATATCTAATCCAAAATAGGAAAACTCTGGACACACTGTGCTTATAAGTTTACTGTGAACCTGTAACAATATTTCTCATGCAGTATTGATTAATGGGAGTAAGTCTTTATGATAGCAGAACATGCAGTGGAAACCTATCTGTAACTACAGTGATAACTAGTTCTGTAGATTAGACCTTCTCTGGTGTTCATAAAGGTGATTCTCTGAATTTAAAATCCACATCAATCAAACTAGAGAAGAACATTTAAAAGAAAAACTCAATGCCCTAAAATACAAGCTATTTCTTGCTTTGCATTATGCAGTAAGAAACAATATTCTTGGCAAAATGTTGGGATACTTTTCGTGTCAGGAATGCCAGTGTCGGAATTTGCAGCAGTCAGCTCTTAGGAGGGCTCAACTAGGGAAGGGAAGGGGACTTACCAACATGGCACTTAGAAGGATGCTGCTCATTAGGATGCAGTTTAATGTTCAGCTACCTATATTTATAAATCCTAAATTGAAAGGATCCAAGATAACAAAGCATTTTTTGAATGATATGTGTTAGATGATGGCAAAAAGACCTTCCATTAATCTTAGTTACAGATGTATCTGCTATTAGGAAATTCCATTACCTCTGGACTCCATGCTACATTAATTAAATATAAAAGATATATTTACTATACAGACATATACTTTCTCAGCATCTGAAATCCTTGGTTATATGTATTCCCAGTCCAAGCAGTAATCTCTCTAAACAAGTGAAACTATATTAGATTAGTAGGTTAGCATTACATAATGTACCAACAATGCAGTAGCAGATTCTGAAAATCTAATAATGTGTGAAATGTAATTATTTAGAAGAAGAGATATGTATAAAAATAGGTCATAACCCTAAAATATTTTGCTGAGTTACAATTTCTTCTGCTGGGACATTTATCACACTGCCATGATATATGTATGAAATGTCCGCTCAGAAAAAGAAAATTAGAAAATATTCCTCACCTACCAATTCACTAAATGTAGGAATATATACTCAAAACTGGCTCTCAAAGTGATACAAATATATAGGGAAAGATAACTGTGTGGGTGAAAAACAAGACAATAAGGAGTCTATTGGGGTTTTTTTTGAAAGGGGAATATATATATATATATATATATATATATATATATATATATATTCCCAAAACACTTATATGGATAGACACATCTTATATCCCCCTCCCTTCAGCCTTTTTATGGACAACAGTCACCCAAATTTTTCTAGGATTATTGCCTGACATAAGAGAAATTCCACTGCTTGTTCTTAAGAAACCACTGAAAGAGAAACATCTCTTTCCACCCTTCTGTAGTGACCCATGATCTGGGCTTGTGCTTTTTGGGGGAGTCTTTGATCTGCAGGTCTCAGAGGCTTGTCTCTCGGAGGAACATGGTGCCGATGTTGTAGGAAACCTTTCTTATTCTTGATGAAGAAAGAGAAGGCTTTGGCTGCTTTGGACCAGTCCTTACCTCCAGGAAATAGCAGATCCCAGGGATTTCCTTTGGAAAGTTGTCTGGAAGTTCTTCACGGGACCGAGGAATGAATGTGAAACTTTCTTCTCGTTTTAATAATCTAAGAAGAAAATGCAGATGATGTGAATCAAATAGCAGAGGAAATGTGAATAAAGGGACAGAAATTCTAAAGACTCAGGAACCTGATCCAGAACTATGCTCATACTATGCTTATTCTGATTTCTTTGAATAGATGTGACCTTCATAGGACTCCAAATACTAGGAAAGGTTCTAACACACACAAAAAAAATCCCTTCATGTTATAATAATTAAAAAAAAAAAACACAGAGCTGCTCATGGTGCTACTTAAAAATATTTGTTTAACTGTGATTTCTTTCTAAATGGCACTCCTTGGAAAATATTGGTTTCAGTGCGATATTTTTCCCCAAACACAGGGCTAAGAAAACAGCATAAGGCATTTTACATTAAATATGCAGGTTTTGTCCTGTTTTGAAAAATTTCTCAAATTCTAGAGCACTCTTTTTATGTTTTGTAGACTCTAAATAAAGTTTAAATGTGTATCCCCCTTGTCAAACACATAAATCAAGTATTGAACTTTGTAGAAAATTTCATGACTCCAAGAGTTTGTGCTGATTACTGATTTCTAGCAATACATATTTTCCAAACTCACTTGTTAAATAGCTTGACTCCTCCCTTTCAGTCACACTTAAAGACTCTGTTTCAGAACCTTAATACTGGAGGAGATTTAGTTTTTAAACTTGTCAAGTTTCATGAAAGGTTCAATTTGATACCCATATCTAAAAATGCAACTAAATAATTCAATTTAATTCAACAACTCCTTATGAACTACTTACTTATTGCCCAAGAAAATTTCTTAGATTCAGGGAATAAAAGAATGACAACCAAAAATCTTTTTAACAATTAAAAAGCAGAGTAATATAAAATTAGTATAGAACAGAATAGATGACACAAGAAAGCTAGATACAAAGGTAGATTTTCAAACAGCTGCGGAAGTCCAGGAGAGGAAAGATGTTTCCAGTAGAAGGATCACATAGACTTCATGACTGAGATGCTTTTTAAGAAGTGAATTTATTACATGGTTTCTGTTATATGAGAAACCTAAAATATAAACAGAGAGCAAAATAAAAGACACACAATAGGAAATAGAGAAGAAAAGAGTGAGGAAGGACGGGAGGAAAGGGAGATGAAAAAAGAATTAAGATGTGTTATAGACATGTACCAACTCCCCATGAGGAATGCAATCATGTACAGGAAACATATACTAATAAAAAATAAAAATTGATAAAAGAAGTGCATTTAAAATGATCAAGATGTCATATGTGCATGTATCAGTTCCCCAAGATGAATGTAATGATTACATATCACAAACATATATTAAGAAATAAATATTTTTTTAAAGTCAACAATTTCACCAAGTAAATACAGAGAATATAATCATCAAAGAGTTGGGAAGTAAAGAATTGTGAACAGGATCAACCAGTTTTCAATCATTTGCTTGACAGTGTTACAGAGTGACAGGACTGTAAGTTAAGGTTGAAGCAGATAGCTAGAACCAAATTCTTGTATCATTATATTAAGTTTATTGGTACAGTTCAGATATACACAATCATCACATTCATCGAATGGAATTTGTACCTGTACATGATATATCTTGATTCTTATTTTTTTTCCCCACTCCCCTCCCCTCCTTTCTACCCCTCTTCCCCTTCTTATTTACCAGAGCTTTGTTTCGAAGTCCTAAACTAAAAGTTCAGGCTTTATTTAGAAGGCAGTGTAGAGCCAAATCCATCATTTTTTCCTGAAAACAACTCAACCTTGTCAATCAGGATAATATTAACATCAGCTTTATTGGGCCGCATAGGAGATGAATGGAAAAAGGAGTCATTATGGAAAGAAGTACAATAACAAAGGATGTGTGAAAATGTAATCACAAGAACAATGATGCAGATCTCTCCACTAAGGAGAAGAAAAAAATTCTTTCTCAAAAGTTCATAATGGGCAAAATGTAGCCCAAAGCAACAATTGGCAGTACTAATAATTGTTATAATATGTGCAGCCTAGCTTACTTTTATGAACCAGAATTATACTATTTTGCTTTCTAAAGGATAAAAGAACAGATCTAATTGACTATTCCTTAAAAATATTATACAATGATTATACTAATTTGAGATATAAGGAATTGAAGCTCATTATAACATTTTTAAATTCCTGCAAGATGTTTATCCCACTTTATTCATGAAACCTCACGCAAATGCTAACAATGCTCTTTTCAGTGAAGTTTATGGAGAGAGAAAGTGAGTTCAGAATAAGGATGAGATACTCAAGAAAACAGCAAGACAGTAATGGCAGTGGAACTAGAATTAAATTTGTTAACTTCTAATCAAGCTTAGCTCTAAATAAATAACAAGACCAAAACTAAGATAGCTCTCCATCACAAAGCAACTAAACTGAGACACACAGGGTTGAGCATTAATGAGGATCAATGGAAGTCATCAGAACTGTTTCCTTTCTTTTCATTTTCATATTTGTTAATTTTCTTTACATATAATATATAGTCATTACAAAAATAAAATATGAAATATCACTGAAAATAGTTTAATTTAGCAGTGAATTCCACACTGATTTTGCTAAGCTCAAATAGAACAGGTATGATGGGCAGTATGTGAGTGTCAACAAACAATGCAAATCAATCAACACAAACACTTGTTTGCTGCTATGACATGCTAAGCTAGCTTTCTGAGTGTAGTAAAGTAAGTAAGTATGCATAGAATAAATTAAGATAATTATAAATACAAGAAATGGCCATAGAAACAAATGAGTAATGCATGGCAATACATGCTACAACATCTTGATACAACCCCCCAACCCCCTCAAAAAAGAAATTCTGTTGGATAAAAAAGAAGTGATGACTGTGTATTTAAGTACAGACTCAAGAACCAGAGCAATAAAGTTTATAACACCAATTATAACACAGAGCCATAAATTCAGTCTTTTCAAACAGTTTCCTGAAAGTCCCAAATTAGAACTCCATGTGATCTATGTTTCTTTTTTAAGTCCTCAAATTTATCTCTTTTACAGTTTGCTTGCTTCACTCCTGTCTTTATGTTTTGGTATAATTGATATTTTCTGACAATGAAAAGTAAAATTGGGTTACATTTATGAAAGTACTGTATTTATAAATGACTGAGAGAAGAGGGCACCAGCTGTTTACAATGCAGGCAGTTGTACATAATTCACTGCACTTTGTCTGGGAGGAAACACTTCACAACAAATTAATACTTTGACATTTTAAATAAATCTTATATACTGTGCTAGAAATCAACAGAGACAACAGCTTTTATGGGATTATATATTTCCAAGTAAAAATTTTGTTATTGATAAGCTAAATACAGTTTTAAATTTCAATAATAAAAATTAAAGGCTGTAAAGATAAATTTATTCAAACTCCTGATATCCAGGATTTAGCAACCTTTGTATAAATGAACACTGAAGTAGCATATTCAGAGGACTTTCTGTTGGACTATCAGAATGATTTACTGGGTGATCCATGGAGGAGGTTAGGAGAGACAGACCACACAGCATGCCTGATAATGATATGAGTCATGGTGTTGAATAAACCCTCCCATGTGTACACAGAGATTAAGAATGGAGACTCTGATCACCCCAGAGCCTCTGATCCCTTTTGAAATACTTTAGTAAGTCCAAGTTCCTGAACTAGTTCTAAAGTTCTATCTCATAATTTATTTCTTCAGGACCTCAGGACTGACTGATATGGATGCTTATATTCTGCATAAATCTAAATTAATCCCCACCTGTAGTCCCTGCCTGGTTGATATACAATGTGGGAGTTTCAATAATATGTTTAATATGCATTTGGAAGTAGCACAAATCCTAGTTTACCTGCCCATCACCCTTATTCCTTTCAATAGATTTTTTCTACAAATTGATTTTCAAAATAAAACTTTACTGCTGCTTTGGATTGCTGGATGGCTCCTAAGCATGTTGGGAAGCTTGGTAGCCTGGGGTCTAAGGAACAGCTGCCTCACTACTGCAAAACTGAAGCTGAAGCTGATCTCTGATCCAGCCCTGATTGCATGCCCATTTCCCCTAATTCCACCAAGCTTTGTACTCTGTTATATAGATTCCTTTGGACTAGAACTTGAAACTTATACTCAGACATAATGATCTAAATGTAAAGTATAACACAAGACTCACAGAGTTTTTAAAAAAGGAATAGAATCATAATATGGAACCTCAGGCATCCTATTTGTGTATTATTTTTTCCAAATCATACTTCAAGTGGCATACATAAAGCACATCATGGTCATTTATAAGGCAGAGGCAAGAATTTGGTCTTTTATTTCAATGTACCTTTTCTCCAATTCTATACATTGACTTAATTGCTAATTTGGGAGGCCTTCATGATCACCAGGTATGCTCATTTATCATATTGCTCCAAAATGGCAAAATTAGGAAAAATGACCAATCATGCCATTCTCAAGCCAAACTTCATCCTCACACTCAGAATCATCCAGTTTTCTGGTCAGTGACTTGTTTTCCATTCTCTCTGACTATTGCCTCACTTTTATTGTACTTTCAGGACATTTGACCCCATTATTATATTCTAACACTTAGGTAAAACTGTAAACTTTCAGATATCACATTTTATTTTCCAGTAGCTCATTCTTGTTATGTGATTTTTTTTCATTATGTTGTGTCCTTACTTTCTTCAATCTATGAAAACACTAATCATTCTTTAATGGAGTTTTCTTTTGTTCTCAATATTGTCTGTTAAATCCAAACTTTTATTGACTAGTTTTGCTATTATGGCTGTTGTTTGCTTGTTTTGATGCCTTTCCCTCATTTCAAAAATTCCATAAGTGACAAATATCCTTTCTATTTTAAATGTAAGACATTAAAATATCAAAGATCTTAAGGAAATATTGATTTTAACCTGTCCATTTCATTAGGGCTAATTTTGTCTTCATTAGGAAGACAAAAATCTGTCTTCCCTTTATTTCTTAGAAATATTTTGTTTGTTTGTTTGTTTTTAGTACACATTAGTTATACAAAATAGTA